ATCCAGAATGGTGCACCTTCCAGTGAGTGGATGAGTCAATAACTGGGGAATACCTGGTGGCCAGGGGGCGTTGCCCAAAGAGCTTATCTGACTCATCCAATCATGAGAGGACAAGGTGAACCCATTCTGGATACTCCTCCTCCCTCACTATGGAGAAGGGGTGGGGGAGAAATGTACTTTGGATGCCTGCAAGGTTGATGTCAACCTTGGGGGCTAAAGCACATAAGAATAGCAAATAGCAATGGCACTGAGACTTATATACCACTTCACTGGACTTTACAGCCCTCTCTAAGTGGTTTACAGAGTCAGCCTTTAGCCCCCAACAGACTGGGTACCCACCCTGGAACGATGGAAGGCTGAGCCAACCATGAGCTGCTTAGAATCGAACTGCTGGCAGTGGGCAGAGTCAGCCTGCAATACTGCATTCTAACCACTGTACATCATGGATGGATGGATGGAAGAGCAATAGCACTTATATATCACTTCACAGTGCTTTAACAGCCCGCTCTAAGGGGTTTACGGAGTCAGCATATCACCTCCAACAATCTGGGTCCCCATTTTACTGATCTCAGAAGGACAGAAGGCTGAGGCAACCTTGAGCCAGTGAGAATCAGACTTCCAAACTGTTGGCAGCCAGCAGCATTGCATTCTAACCACCACGGCTCTTAAATATAGATAGATTAGATATAGATAGATAGACAGACAGATAATAGACACAGAGATAGATAGCAATTGCAATAGCACTTATATGCCGCTTCACAAGTGTTTTTACAGCTCTGTCTAAACAGTTTATAGAGTCAGCCTCTTGCCCACAACAATCTGGGTCCTCGTTTCACACACCTCGGAAGGAGGGAAGGCTGAGTCAATCTTGAGCCAGTAAGAATCGAACTGCCAAACTGTTGGCAGCCAATGGTCAGCAGAAGTAGCCTGCAGTACCATACTCTAAACGCTGCTCCACCACGGAATTACAACTAGGTGAGCTTAATGCTACTTTCTTGTAAAGGAACACTGAAAGAACCTTGGAAGTATGAAAGTACAGTTCTCTCGGTTTTCCTTACTTTATTGAATAAACAATAAATGACTTGGTTCGCATGGTACAGGTATACAGGTAGCCGTCGAGTTAGGACTACAACTGAGCCCCAAATTTCCATTGCTAAACGAGATAATTGTTAAGTGAGTTTTGCCCCAGTTTTATGACCTTTACATCTAGAACAGGTACTAAGTAAATGGATTAAGTGATGATAGATAGAAGGAAAGATAGATAAGGATGGATGGAGATGATGGAGATTTTTTCGAGGTGAAAGAGAGAGAGAAATGTTTTTAGGATTCCATGGATGGATGGATGGATGGATGGATGGACAGAGATGATGAAGATGTTTTGAGGAGAGAGAGAAATGTTTTGAGGATTCCTATGAAAGATATATAGATATAGATAGATGATATAGAGATAAAGATATATAGAGATGTAGAGAGATGGATGGATGGATGGATGGATGGATGGATGGATGGATGGATGGACAGACAGACGATAGAGATGTTTTGAGAAGAGAGAGAGAAATGTTTTGAGGATTCCTATGATAGATATATAGATATAGATAGATGATATAGAGATAAAGATATATAGAGATGTAGAGAGATGGATGGATGGATGGATGGATGGATGGATGGGTGGACAGACAGACGATAGAGATGTTTTGAGAAGAGAGAGAGAAATGTTTTGAGGATTCCTATGATAGATATATAGATATAGATAGATGATATAGAGATAAAGAT